GAACACGAGCGAGCCATGCTCGCTCGTGTTCGGCTCGTTTACACCCCTGACTGGGACCTTGGGCATCTCTTTTGCACGGGAAGCCTAAATCTCTGTAGGACGCTTGATGGAAACCATAGTAGAAACTGCCTCGGCAACAACAACTTTCGATAATCCCTCATCACCAGAAACAAGGGCCTTCCCAGGTCTATTGCATGACAACTTTGAAGTGTCCATGGCGCCGACCAGAAACTTGAACAACTCCTGAGCAACGAATGTTTGATTCGCCGTCCAGGAACCTCCAATCGAGGATGAGAAGCGCGATGGAGAACTGGAAGCACGAGTTCATGAGCTATTCCTCGCCGAAGACTTTTCCCCAATTCCGGATAGCTCATTATCAGACAGCTGGTTCGCCAAGAAGGCCAAGGGACGATAACCAGACTCGTTGATGTGGAGGAAGCCACAACAGCGGTGACCAACGGAGGCGGCTTGGAGACTTGGGAAAGGTTGCTCGAATAGGAAAGGGTGGCGCGGATGGCCATGGGTCTGTGGCTTCCAGAAAGAGCGGGGATTTTCCAGATGCGTGCGGGTTGAGGATTAGGGTTAGGTTTAGCTCCCTTTTCCTGGTGAACTTGCCCGCCGCACAGGGAGAAATATGAACCGGATCCGTTGCCGGTGGAAGAAGATGCAACGATGCGATTGTACTCGTCGATCATGTAAAGATGCAATGATGCAATGATTCAAGGCCTTTATTTGGAAGTTGGTACTTGAGGGTGAAAGCTCTGACCACCAAGAAGATGCCGGGAGAGAAGAAGAGTGCCCCTCCCTTCCTGCACAAAGGATTGCAGGAAGGGAGTCCGACAATTCTTAAAAGAAGACCGGTGGCTAGAGTATGAAATTAGGGTCTGATAGCATATTACAATTCAGAAATAATGTGAAATATTGTGGAATACTTGATATTCATTTCATTGATATGAACGAGGGTAAAAATAATCCTTACAAGAATCATATAATACGAAAATAATGCTAGAGTATGAAATTAGGGTCTGATACCATATTACAGTTCAGAAATAATGTGAAATACTTGATATTCGTTTCATTGATATGAACGAGGGTAAAGATAATCCTTACAAGAATCATATAATACGAAAATAATAAAAAATGAAACGATATGAAAGGAAAAATCCTATATTCATAGCCGCTGAAACTGATCTATTCTGAAGAAACCAAAATGGCGGCCATTCACTGTATCCTTCCAATTTCCTCCTTTGATATCATCCTCCGCATCCCCAGAACCCTCCAACTCTCTCTCAATTCCTCCATCCTCTTTCATAAAGTCCGCCACTTTACAGCCGCAAGCTCTCCT